AATCATAGACATTTTTATTACAATCTTTTATTAATTAATATAGATACTTACATATTGTCTATGATATATTCTAGTATAAAGTAAATATTCCCTTTTTATTATTAAACACACTTCTGGATTTTTATAGGCCTATTCAAATTTTCTCCTTAGGGGTCATAGTGATAGTATAAAAGGTAGGGCATTTGCCTTGCATGTGGCCAACCCAGGTTCGATCCTCTGCATCCCAGATGGTCCCTCCATGCATAGTGAGGAGTAATTCCTGAATGCAGACCCAGGAATAACCCCCAAGTATCACCTGGTGTGACCCAAAAAGAAAAAAAAACAAAACAAAACAGATTTTTCCCTTTATCCTTTATCACTGTATCATTGTCATCCTGTTATTCATTGATTTCCTCGAGCAGGGCACCAGTAATGTCTCCATTCATCTTAGCCCTGAGATTTTTAGCAAGTGCCACACTGGAGGCTCTTTCAGGGTCAAAGGAATGAAACCCATCATTGTTACTGGGTTTTGGCATATCGAATACACCACAGGGAGCTTGCCAGACTCTGTGTGCGGGCAGGATACTCTCAGTAGCCTGCTAGGTTCTCCGAGAGTGAGAACTAGACAATAAGAGGTCCTTTTAAATTTTTCCTTTTTTATTTCTTTTGGTTTTTAGGCCATACCAGGCTGTGCTCAGGGCTGACTACTGGCTCAGTGCTCAGGGATCACTCCTGGTGGGACGGTGGAGGGCATGAGAAGGGAAACTATAGGTGCCAGGCACGAAACCCAGGTCAGTAGCATGCAAGGAAAGTACCTTACTTACTAGACTCTCTCTCCAGCTCTAAAATTTTATTAATTCTCCTCACTCTTACTAAATTGTGTATTTGTACAATTAATCTATTTCACATAAAATGTTAAATGTGTTAGCACAAAATTTTCATTCATACTATTAATTTTTAAATATATATACTGTAAAAAAGCTTTTGAGAAAAATTTTATCAACTTATTGATTTACAATTTTGTGGAATTTCAGTTTATCTTTATTCATCTATATGTCTGTAGGTGTCACCACCTTCACAATTAACAAAAAAAACCCTCTCTTATATGTGGAATATAAAGAAAAATAATAAAAGAACAAAAAATTATCAGAGTCATCAGAACTGAAGATTTTGTCTAATAGAAGTGATCTTACATGGGGAGGGCTGAGAGAGAACCTCGAGTTAGGGAAAGGGGACTTGGTGTAGGGAAGCAGGCACTTTGGTGATAGATGTGGTACTGGAATGATGAATGCACGAAAAGTATTATTATTACTAATAGTATTGTAAACCCCAATACCTCAAAAAAAGTGGTTTTAAAAAAATGCATCCAGAATTCTAATAGACGGCAGCTAACTAGGATTCAGCACTAACTAAAGAGCTTTGTGGTAGGTCAAATTTTACAAGTGAAAAACACAAATCAAACACATAAACAATGAAACCAAGATTCTCTGAGAAGACCAAAACAAGAAAATTTAATTTTTTTGTGGTGCTGGGGACCCAACCCGGGTCTCATGCAGGCAAGGCATGCATTTACTATTATGTTACATCTCCAGCACTCAAGGAAACCTTTTACGTGACATAAAATCAGCTCATTCTTGGAGAAGAAATGATCTCTTAAGCAAAAGACTGATTCTCTTTATTTGTTCTCAAGAACTTCTAAGAGGACCACAAAAAAAAAAATCCAATTTGAATTCATTAATAATAAGGAAAATGAGTCAGAAAAGATTACTGCAGATATACACATATATATAAATACCACATTTTCCTGTAATCTAATCTCTAAATTTCAAAAATGCTTTTATGAAAATTTAAACGAACCAAAATCTGATACCCTTTCCAGGTTTTGCACACAGACACACACACTATGGCTTCCCATATTAAGTCCCAATATTATTTTTGTATTAAAATACAACTATCAAATTAATTAAACTTAAAATTTTAAATCTCGAATAAGTAGTTAATTAATAATTCCTTTAAAAAATACCACTTTTCTTATCCCTTTCCCACACACACATAAATATGTAATATACAACCAAAACTAATGGCATGATGGATTCTCTATAAAATGTGGCTTTTAAGAGAATGTGATTTTTTATTAGAATGAAACTTACACAGTGAAGAAGGGAATAATGAACTCCAAATTCATAAGTTATAGGTGAGTAGGGGGCCAGGGTCAAGAGTTTGAACAGGAGAAGCGGCCCAAATCTCTTCAAAGGCAGTGGTAAATTTATTTCTTAACCAAGCAGAGGAAACAGGTTTTCACTGTTATTATTTTCTATAACTAATTTATATTCTGCATTTTACTTAAACTACTCAATAGTTCATAAAAACTATTTTAGAGGTGAGTTTATAATCAAAGTAACCTGTTGGGTCCACTGTGGTACATCCAGTCCAATAATGAACAGAATGTTACCTGACCATAAACTACTTCATTACTTATTTGGTTTTTAATTTTATTTGGAGGGGAAGCAGTATTCCTGGTTCTGCACTTGGAATCACTCCTGATGGGACTCGAGAGACCATGTAAGGTACTGAACCCGGGTCAGCTGCATGCAAGACAAGCACCCTACCTGCTATCCTAGCTCTCCAGTGCCATTATTTTATTACTTTAAAATACACTATTTTTTCCTTAAGCTTCTCTGAAACTTTTACACCCAGTGATTGATGCTCAGGGATTACTCCTGGCTCTGCACTTAGGGATTATTCCTGGGATACTGGGATCTAACTCAGGTGGACCGTGTGCAGAGCCAGCACCCTCCCCACTGTACTTTCTCTCTGGCCCCTGCAAAGCAAGCACTTTAGTCACTCAGTATCCCCCAAGCTCCTGACCATAAAAATATGTTTTCCCTCACGGTGTTTTTTTTTCTTTTCCCAAAAAATTTTTAAAGGTGTGTCATTAACTCACTGACTGTGAGTTTTGCACATGATGTGATATAAGAAGACAGAAAATAGAATTGAATGCTGTAATCCTAGGACTGGGCTGGAGTGATAGCACAGTGGGTAGGGCATTTGCCTTGCATGCGGCCAACCCGGGTTGGATTCCTCGGTCCTTCTCGAGGAGCCCGGCAAGCTACCGAGAGTATCCCACCCTCATGGCAGAGCCTGGCAAGCTCCCCATGGTGTATTTGATATGCCAAAAACAGTAACAATAAGTCTCACAATGTAACTGGTGCCCGCTCTAGCAAATTGATGAACAATGGGAGGACAGTGCTATGCTACAGGTAAAAAAAAAAAAAATTAATGTTTTTTTTGTTCTCTGATTAATATGCAGGAAAGGATGTACTATTTATATCACCCAAAGTGGCTATAAAATTAAATCTTTTGGTTGTCACATACTATCTGTCAGCCTGTTTTGTTTCCAAATAAGTTTGGTCAACCAAGAGGAACCTCTAAATCAAATACCAGAAGAAATCGAATGCCCTAATATTTCTTTCAACAATTCCCAATTCTGTTATATATTCTGCTTTCAATAAAGTGATAGAAATGTTTGTGATACTTTAGTTACATTCAAACACCTAGAGTATTTAATTTTGTAAGGGCAATCCAAGCTGACTGTTCCTAAGATCCTTTTCAGAGACAAGTTATTTTCAATACTTTTTAAAAAAGTCTAAAACATACTGCAATTTGGCCAGACTAGAAAGTGAAGGTAGTTTTGCTTTCCATTGGAGTCTTTTCAGGTCCTCTTAAATTAACTGGTTCTTTCATGCTGATCAGATATTCTGACAGATGCCATTAATAAAACTAAGATAATCACAATTACTTAACAAATGTAGTATGAAAAAGCATTAAAATGATAAAGTCCATGGGACAAAAATAATGAAAGTGTTCTTTTATTTGAGGCCAGAGTGATAGCCCAAGGTCTTGCCTGGCATGCAGCCAACCCAGGTATAAGCCCCGGCACCCCATATGGTCCTGTGAGTAAGGAGTAATTCTTGAGCACCACCAGGTATGGCTCCAAAGCAAACAAACCAAAAACAAAATGGTATCTTATTATTTGATTTAGTTTGCAACCAAATATGTTGGTATTTATAAAGCAGCAGTACTAAATTCTGCTTTATAAGCAGTTATTCCCAAAGACCATGAGAGTAGTTTTACATCACTATAAAAAAAAATCTGAGAACACTACTTTTTCTAACTCTGCTAAAAGTCTGAAAATCAACTCTCAATGATCCTTCTTCTTCTTTGTTGTGTTTTTGTTGCCAGCTCAGTTCCCTGTTCCTCAATCTTTATAAAAAATTGAAGTGATGGAATGATCAAGAGCTTGTATCCTTCCTGCTGCAAGTCAGGCTAATCCCACCAGGACTATTTTATTTTCACACTGTCTCTAACATTACCTAAATTCACAATAAAACTCTCCTCAAACTATGGCCCTAACTTCAAACTATAGTCCTTGCAAATTTTAATGTGCTGGCTGTCTGAATGAAGCCAAATTAGAAAGTAAAAATAAATAAATAAAATAAGTTAAATTTTTTAAAAATTATTATCTTTTTAATCTAAGCCAGTCTTCCACATCATCCCCTTCTGCCATGAGAGACAAGAAGGGAACAGGTGTAGACCAGGCCTTCCTAGAGGCCACCTCCTCCTTCAGGAACCTGATCTTCCCAGCCCACTCTCCGGCACCCCACGAATCACTCTCAGCAGACCTAAATATTGCCTGTTTTCTCATCTGCACTTTCCAAAAGGTTTCCGATGCGAAGGGCAGTGATGTGACTGGCTCTCAGATGAGAACATGCCTCCCAAATGACTTGCCAAATTCCCTGAAAGTTCCCTGAAAGCAGTTCTAAAGCCTGTCTCTGAGCTCCCTCCTCACCCTCTCAACAGTTCTTCCCTGATCTTCTTAATTCCATCCAAACATCCTGTATTCCCAGTGCTAAATGCCTTCTCTCGAAATGTCTAACCCACTTCCAAGCCTAAAAGTCCAATGTCAAATTCCAAGAGAATTTTGGAGCAAGTATGAAGCAATACCCATCCTGCCCGCCTACCTGCAGACAGCTCAACTGTGGTTTCTGCTCTTGCCTTCTCCAGCTTCTCCCGGACCCAGGGAAAATCCTGCAGGGAATCTAGGAACGTGTCAAAGGCTTTAGGGCCTCTGGAGGGTAGGATATCCAGCAGCAGCATTGTTTTCCCAAAGCCTGTGGCTTGAGCTCTGATTTCTTGAAGATGGCTTTCTGTTAAGACCCCTTCCTGGTACAAATACTGAAGAACCAATCCTTCCACCAGGACCTCTGTGCCCAGTTCCAGGCGCAAAGAACGGAGCACTTGCTTGTCTCTAGCCTCCATTTCTCCCTGGGAAGAGGGGGGGGAAAAAGTGGCTTGGATCACAGAAAGTGAATGAACTCCCAAAGACAGTGGCCCACCATTGAAAGTCTGACAGGCCAGCAACATCTTTGGACCTCTGCAGAAGGCCGACCCATAGGGTTAATGCCTGGCTGTTAATACAAGTCAAATATATTTAATGTTGCCCTTTTTTGTAACAAACAACACTGAATAGGAACCATATTTTCTGCCCTCATTGGGATTAGCTCAGTTCCTTATTCTCCAAAGAGAGAGTCAAGATAACCAGCTTGAAAAGCAACTTTTCTGTGTAGATCCCAGGCAATATTTCATTTGCACATACTGGAGAAGAAATAGCGGTTTTATTTTAACCATAGTGTTGAGCCGAGGTGTTCCACCAACACAGAAACTGTCAATGTGCTTGTTCGTGGCTCTGGGCCATGGGTCTTTGCAAAACCTAGGTAGGGGATAGGGTCCAGAAACCCAAACACCCTTCCCATAAGGATCTTTTTCCCTGACAGCAAAGCCCTATGCACCTTCACCTTCAAGAGTAACATTTAGAGGCGTTTAGTTTGCACTAAATCAGATTCTATCTCTTTCCCTTAAGAATTCAGAATCACCATCTCCACAGCTGTGACCACACATGCATGGACATTTATTGGGACTTTTTCCTCCTTCTTGAACTAAGTCCCCACACCCGTTCTGTTCAGCTGCCAAGAGACAGGGATGCGTGTTATGTCCCAGACAGTGCACAAATGGTGAGAAAGGGGAGGTGCCCGGGTCGCTGGAAACCCCAGGCCCCTACCCAAATTCCAAGCCAGCCCACCTGAGCCCTAGCCAGAGGCGGTGGGCGAGGAGGGTGCACGCTTTGCACTGCCTGCGCCCTAGTGCAACTTTCTGCCTCTTACTGAGCGGGAGAACTGCTAGCGGTTTTCGGGGCATCCAGACCCAAGAAAACGAGTGCTGGGAATCTTTCTAAAAGCACACCGGGAAAAGGGCGATCCCCCGCAACCCCTTCCGTCACCCCCATCCCACCCCGCTCCGGAAAGCCCAGAGCAAATTAGGGGGTGGGAGGAGGGAGGCACCGCCCAGGTGAGAGTCTCCAGAGCACCGGGCCTTCCAGAAAGGATGGATACAGGGTATCTGATTTCCTGTTACTTACGTCTGCAATCAAGTATCTTTAAAAAAAAAAATTGAAACCGGAACCTAGACTGTTAGAGAATTTGTACTAGAAGCACCATCTTTGTTGAAGGCGAAAGCCCGCTACAGGAAGTGTTGCCGCCATGTTTACTAAGGGCAAGCACCGGAAGTCGTGCTTGTGCCATCTTCATTAGGGGCCATGTGTCTCGCTGAAGCCTTTTCCGCCATCTTTTCTGTGGGTAAACAATGTAATTCCCTGGAAATGGAAGCCGGTAACTTCAATTATGGAGTTGTCTTAGCAAAGAAATAATTGGATGATTGCCGTTTAACACAGCAACTTCCACCAATCACTTAGTAGATATTTTACACAAATAACTTAGCAGATATTCAGGTTTCAAAAGTCACCTCAGGTTTCAAAAGTCACCTATCAATTTTGCTATATTTAAAATTATAATATAGTATATCGCCCACACGGCAAAGCCTGGCAAGCTACCCATGACATATTCAATACGCCAAAAACAGTAATAAGAAGTCTCATAATTTGTTGTGAGACGTATTGGTGCCCACTCGAGCAAATCAATGAACAAGGGGAGGACAGTGCTACAGTGCTAAAATTACAATACACAACTGCACTTCCCAATCCTTTTCCGTAGTTACAGTCACTTTTCTAGCATGCTACTAAACTTGTTATTTCAGTTCTTGTTTCTCTTCATTAAAATATAAGGATAAAATATAAAGGATAAAGATAAAATACAAGGATATCTTTTTACCACAGGGACCTCCTCAACAAAAATTTACAAGCTAATCAGGATTTGGTTGCTGCATTCAGCTACTAATCATTGGAAAAGTTAAAGAAAGACTGGGAATTCAAGGATGACTTGGAAAATAACACTGCCAAGCTGATTAATGACCACAGTCGGAAGATAAAGTCCCAAAAATGCCACTTCATAGTTCCAACATCCTCCCAACACTGACAAAGCAAGTGACTGGATTTGGAACACTGCTACAGAAAAATCAAGATTTCCAAGGCTATCTCTAACAGCATCAGCTAAACAGCACCTGCAAGTCTTTCTTTGATGAATTGGTGAAACCTAATTCAAATGCAGAACATTAGCAGCAAAGGTGTTTGGGCATGTAGTTTGAAAAGCTCCAAACTTCTGAAGCACAGAAAGACATGCTAAAGAGGGAGGGGCAGATACCAGGAACAATCTACTGAGTTCACCAAATGTTTAATATGGAAGGCAAGAAAAATGCGTGAGCCAAACATAGAGAGATATCATTAAGTAAAATAAAGCTTCATCAAATTCTTTTGTAAAATGAGACACAATTAAAAATATATGCTCATTGATTCATCAAATGATACAGAAATTCACATACCTATTAGAAATTGGCAATTACAGAGGAACTTTTTCTCAACTATCATTATTTCTGTTTTCACACACTCTTTGTAAACAAAGCAACAGGAAACAATTCCAAATCTTCCTTTACAGAATCTTTAGGTATGTGTAACTGGTATGTCGTTTTATTATGGCAAATATTACAATTATTGAAGTTTTAAATATGTAGGGAGAATGGGTCAGAGTTGTCAAGTGTCTTAGGCAAATTCCCATAGAAAATACATAGAAAGACTAATTATATGAGATCCCTCTGATTTGTTTCCAGTATACCAGATGGCCCTATCTAATGAAGTGTCTGCTATTTACAGACTAAATTATTGACAGCTGAATTATTATTAATATGGTACTTATTCCTACTTTTGATAATTTTGAGTTCCAGAAACTCTCTTCCAGCATTTCTTCTTCCTCTTTTCCTCCAGGTTATCCTTTCCTGGTGAATATTTCATGTTTATACCTATAGATGGATAGGTGGTGCTCAAGGTCTGGTTATGCACTTAGAGATCACTCCTGTGTAGGGACTTGAGGACCATGTAAGGGTGATGGGGATTGGACCCAGGTCAGCTGCATGCAAGGCAAGTGTCCTATCTGCTGTGCTATCCAGCCCAGGTGGATCTTTTTAGTTTAGATAAACCTTTTCCCAACCATTACTCCTTTCTGAATTTGTTTCCTTTTTGTGCACCAATCCCATGACCTATAGGTTGTCCCCCTTAAACGCATCCTGTGGTCCGATATATGTGATTTACAGCTATTCTTTAATATTACCCTGTAATATCCTGGGAGCTGACAGGGAGCGGTTGAGAAAAAACTGTTTTAGATCATCAACTCCTTCTTCCTGTAGCAAATGCAGAAGAGCATCCATGCTGCCTCCTAAGTGAATGGATTCCCTTAGATGGAAGATGACTTTTGAAACCTGACTAGCTAATTGTCATCAGTCAACCAGTTGTAGGGCCATGGCCACACCCTGGACTATCTAGAAAGACACTCTGAGCAGCATACCAGAGTTTCAGCCTCACTTAGATAAACATCTAAGGCCAGGAGGCCCTAAAGGAACAAACATAGCTCAGAATAATTATTACTCCTCCATTCTTTCTCTGTAGGCTAAATTTGGTCCCCTAAAGAGGATTAAGCATTTGTCACCCAGCAGCAACAAAACCATTTTTAGGAATGACAGATATTTTCTTTTTTTCTCTCTCCCCACTATGTTTGTTTCAAGATACACGTAGTCTGAATTTGCAAAGGAAAGAGTCAAAAAGAATAAATGTGGTATTTTTCTATTTCAGTTTGGCCCTTGAGTTAACAATCAAATATCAAAGGAGTTATATATTTTTGGTTCATTCTACATCATAAAAATGAAGCCCTAGAGATAATAGATTCTTTTCAAGCGTACTTGAAACAGAAGTGGTGAATAAATTAAGTCCCAAAGTAGCTTTAATCTCAAAAAATCAATACCATTTTACAATAAAATCTGAAATTTTAACAAAAAGTTAGTTTCATTAGTTTAAAACTAGCCTCGAACATTGGAAACTAAATGTTTAAAACTCTTTAAACTCTTGAGTTAAAAAATAAAGTAGTGCTAAAGAGAGAGTGCAGGAGGTGAGGTGCTGACCTTGCATGCAGTTATGGGAGCCTCACCTGGTTTGAGTCCCCAGCACCACATAAAATCTCCCAAGCATAACACCTGAACGCAAAACCAGCAATAGCCTGAGTTCAACGAGATGTGACCCCTACCCAAATCCAAAAAATAAAGTAACGAGGATGAGGGAGCTAATTTACATGGCAGTGGTTGCCCTCTGCTCAGCACCACCAGGTGTAACTCTTATGGCCACCAAGTTCTACACAAGGGAGTCTGCAATGAAGTGCCACACCCACATAACCAGATTGAGGAACCGCAAGAATGACCACACACACACACACACACACACACACACACACACCAATGAGGGTTGCCCCTTAAAAAGTTGGACACTTTCCTTGGTTGAACAATTATGGAAAACAATATTAAAATTCTAAAAACATTAAAATTAATTATTCCATTCATTCATCTCCCCACCATCTTTCTATTGACTTTCTGTGAGACCACAACGATATACATTAATATCCCAGATAACATTCTCCACAGCATCAACAATGCCAAAAAAAGGCAAATACCAAGTCCTTATAAGACTATGTTTCAAAGTCATTGTTCGGTTTTTACTTTGATGATGAGACATGGTTACATTAGTGAGTTTGCAATCATTGATTATTCCAGAACTAATAAAATTGGTGTAAGCCAAACAAGTGTGGCACGATTAGCCTCAGATTTGATGTGCAAAAATGTCAGGCCAACCTGTTTTTTTCTGTCAGCTTGGCACCATTTTACTGGTAACTTCAGACTGGCATCACAAATTGTGAAGTAAAGTAAGTAAGTAAAGGCCCTCCCGTTGTTCATCAATTTGCTCGAGTGGGCCCAGTAACGTCTCCATTGGAGACTTTGTT